GGAGATTCTACTGGTCTCCATTCTCACTAGGAAACTTTTTAGCAATGTACGAATTCGTAGCTGAGAATTGTGGATTGAAATTAGGCACCAAAAGCTGTCATAGACTTATAGATGATATGACATTCGGATAGTTCAGTTCAGTGTTTAAGAACTCTGGAAAAAAAAATTTTATAAAAAGGGGAAAAAGAAGAAACATAAGGTTGCTTTCAAAGGATAAAAAGAGAATAAAGCTTTCGGCGTTTATCAATCCCTGAGGGATGCGCCATCCTTTGGTCTTCATTAAGCACCGTTTGGAGGTGATTGAATCATATCTGGCCTTTACAATGACTCGCACTGGCCTATCGATGTATCCAGCCAGTGCTGCTACCCTCTCAGACAATTCTGGTACCAATTTGCGACCCCGGAGGGATAGAAGGCTTGGTGGGCCATGAGCGCGGAGACCGATTCCACGTGTGTCGCAGGGCGTCTCCGACCACTGCGCCATATGCGCCCTTCGAAATTGCTATTAACAAAGTTTATTCAATATCTTCAATCGAGTATTTCCGTGAATGCTTTGCCTTTTTCTTTGCCATTTCCTTTTCTTTAATAAAGTAGTCAAAGCTTGAATAATTTTTTCATGTTATTTTTGAATATTTTTACTACGGAAGCAGAAAAAATAACTATGCGAGTAGAGCAAACCCCTGCTTATTGCTGTAATTTGAGAGTTTTATTTGTCTGTTAAACAATCTCAGTTTTTAATCCAGCTCTTGAATCGTTAAATGTTAAACCTTTTAATCGGATATAGAGAGAACGTTGATGTTGGAAATCGTTTCCGCGACATCTAAGTTCGAATGAGCATAGATAATGTCTGAATTCGTTTCTTCTAATTTTTAACCCAATAACTTTCACTGATCAAAAAGTCGGAGAAATGTAGCGCGAAATCTACGAAACCTGTGCGAAAGTGTGTATAGTACCAGAACAAAGGCACGGAACTCTTCTGTTCGGATATTGGAAGTGAGCGGCTGAATAGATGGCGTGTCAATCTGACCTTGTCAGGCTACGAGGGTAGATATGCCGAAACGTTACCCACCTGTCGATTAAATTTTATATCAACAATCTCGTGTCTTCCCAAAGAGAAAACATAGAAGTAGCTAACCATAGAACTTTGTTTAAAATTTAAAACATCGCAGTTCAGAGAAATTGAACTGGTGGTGTTTTGCGGTAAATCTAAGAGACACTTCATAGCGGAGATAATTTTCGTTAACAGTGCGCTCCTACTATTATGACCCATTCCATCTTACGTGTGTTGTTGGTTGAACCAAACTGTAAAATAACGGTTATGTTTGTCTACAAAAGGAGAATTTCATAGTGATGTCCAATTTTTCGGGTCACCTTCTTCTTTCCATATAACAAAATTTTGCAGTTGCGCTATTGCCTGGTACAGGTAGCGTAGGGTTTAGAGATGCCCCGCAATACTCTAGTCTTTGGTTCAATCACTCACCGTTTAATAACTCGAAAGACCGACTTTCTATGAACCTCGGCATAGATAGTTGATATATTTATTTATGTGATCTTATAAAGTGATCTTCTTAAGCTGACGCGAGGTTGGTACAGGTCTTCGTTGTCGTTGTCGTTGTCGTTGTTTTTGATGTTATTGAACGATGGCTGACGTTTCGGCGACTTCGCCTTCCTCAGAGTCTGGACGTACTTTATGTTAGAATACTTTTTATTAATCGGTGGAAAAGAAGGTTAAAGTATTAATGAAGATCAAACTTTCAAATAGACGCCATATTGAACAGAAAGGTCACTCACCGTGATGTTATGTGCGGGACTGGCCGACACGTAGTTTACACGAGCAAGACACGCCCCGGGGTCAAAATAAACTCACCGTTTAGCATCATGAAGCAAAGGACTGCTCAACGGTGAATAGTCTATGCTTTTTTTTTATCGCTACTGCCTATTGTGTAATCTCTTTCGACGATCCCTCAGAAATAAAAGAGACCAACATCGTGATGTTTAGCATTTTTATAAAGAAATGCCGTGTTTATTTTCCTCAATCATTGAAATAAAAAGGGAACGCAGGTTAAACTTGACCCAGAAACTTCGTTACCAAGATGTAGCATTTAGAATTACTCATCATCTGCAAAGGGTTTTGATATCTCCGTGTCTGCATCATCTTACCGATATGTGAGCGGCTCAACTCAACTGCACGATAATGTTCTCTTGACTTGCGCTCTAACGGCACTCTAAAGCATTTAGTAGCAGAACACTACACGACACACACCACATTAATCCTTCTCTATTCCTCTATACAGAATATTACAAGCATAGGAAAAATCCTGTAGATAAGGGCTTTATTTGGATGTAGACCGCTATTGCACTGACAAGTTAATAAATGCCTATACAGAAAAAATTTAGAAGTTAGGTGCCATCATCTGAAAGGGATAAAAAAGTATAAAGCTTCCAGCGCTAATCAATTCCTGAGAAATGCGCCATGCATTCGGCTTCATTGGGCATCGTTGGTGGTGATTGAATGCATATCTGGTCTTTACAATGACTCGCAATGGACTACCGATGTATCGACCCAGTATGGCTATGCCTCCACATAATCCGGGTACTAATATGCTGGCCCCAGAGTGATGGAAGGCATGGTGAGTCTGGGACGTGGGGACCGATCCTTTGTGTATTGCGTGGCGCCTCCGACCACTGCGCCATCTGAAAGAGATAGAGGTAAAATCTTGACGGGAACGTCTTCGACATGAAGAGCAGGTCTTCGTTAGCAAAACAGTGATCTCGTGTCACATAGATTTAGTTTCTCCAAAAATAAAACTGAAAAGCAGATATGTATAGCATGACACAATTGTGAGTTTTTTATGTTCCTATTACATACCACATGTGAAGTTGTAGTATTTCGGGTCTGAGGTCTTCAATACACGAAGTGCCCTATGGTTCAGTAAATTGAAAGCCATCGGAGCGATTGCTATATTTGAATTGGAATATTTCCATGGTATTCAAATCGATAGTTAACAACCATCACAACGTGAAGCCTCCTACTCTATGCAGTCGACTGAGTATCCATTTCGGACTTAGTCCTATTTTCGGCTTTACACCTTTTCATCCCATCATTCGCAGTTTGCACGCTCAAATTCGTCTAATAGGGATTTTCTTCTCCGTGTATGGAAAAAAACATACATTTAGCTTATTAGACCAAATGATTTTCATTGCAAGTTGCTGAAGCGCTTTACTGACGTCAATTTCATGGAAAAGAAAAGGACAATGGATGAGAACAAAACAGCATCCACTCATGAACATCATGCTTCTTTCACTATTCTTCTTATGTGTCACAGCAAATTCAATAAAATGCTAAGGTTATAGATAATAAAATGATAAAGCTATCGGCGTTGATCAATTCGTGAGGGATGCGCCATGTATTCGACTTTACTAAGCATCATTTGGAGGTGACTGAATGCATATCTGGCCTTTACAATGACTCGCTGTGGCCTACCAATGTATCGAGCCAGTGCTGCTATCCTTCCAGACAAGTCTCGTACCAGTTTGCCGACCCCGGAGGGATGGAGGGCTTGGAGGGGCTATGGGCACGGGGATCAATTCCACGTGCGTGTCGCAGTGGCGCCTTCGACCACTGCACCACATTTCTAGATATGTCAAAGATCCCTTCTAAGAAGCACTCTAGGAGAAATCCAGTCGGGAGGCGACAAAGTCTCAACCAATATAGATGGTCAACCGACTAACTGCGTATTACCCATGGTAACAACCAAAGAACGCCTTATTACGACACCATCACCTTAAGGCTGCTGGAAAAAAAAACTTACTTAGACATCAGAATATCAACTAAGCACAGAACATGGTGAATTCGTGCTGCTGAAGGTTAACCTTCCAGAAAACCCATGTATCCAAGTAAGTCCTTTGTTTTCTATATCGTTATGAGCAGCGTCTTGTTACGAGGGTAATTTTGTACTTCAGTACTCGAATAATCCGTCTTCCAAAATCACGAATAGCCCGTCTTCGAGGATCAGGAACTCTTGTGCGGGCAACAGTACAACTTTCATCTGACTAGTAATTCGCTCGTAGGAGAAGAGTTTCTTTCCGCGAAGCCTCGAAAGCCTCGTTAGTGCTCTGGCAATGATATATAACACTGTCATTGCGTAATAAATTGTAGTTAAACCATCGAAAACATCATGTTCGTTGCATCCAGAAATAACCGTTGTGCTTGTTGACGCTCGCTCTGCTTCCGGAAGTCGCCCATGAACGGATGTGGGCGGGGCAAGTGGGTGGTGCTCGAAGCAATTCGTTGCAAATCGAGATCGCTCACTTTATGTTCATCCCTGTCAATCAGTAGTCATTGCGAACGCTTCCAAACGGTAATATGGACATCTTATAATTAACAGGGTGGGATTCACTCAAGAACGAAATGATACACTCAGTCGGTATTCTAAGTGACTCTGGTGACCAGTTCGTTGGAAAGAATGGCACTTTCATCACTAGACGCAATCGATCAATACTCCGGGATGGCGATGGCCACATCGATCGGTCTAGCCATGGCTTTCTCGTGGTGGTGGTAGTGCTGTTGGTGGGCCGAGTCGCATGTGTACTGGGTACTTCTGCTTCATCGAGGGTTGAGTTACTATTGATGCCTACTAAATAACTGACTATAGGGAAAAATCCTACTTATCGGGGGTTTCATTGCTCATCTTCTCATGCCTTACCTGCTCCATCTACTTAGCTTTTTCGTATGTGTAATGTGATTTACATATATAAGGATTATCTTAATGGATTGAAGTCGTGCTCTTAATTCCGGCCTCAATGTTTCACACACACTGTTTTTATCCGCGGAGGTTAACACTGTATTTGTATTGCAGTAATAACCGTCGTCGATTTTCCTTTCCACGTAGCCCTTTTCTGGTCACCTAACGTCCTAACTGGTAACATTCTCGCCGTTATCACCGAACACTGACGGGGTCAGAGTTCTAACGTTTAGCAACACTTTAAGGAAAAAAGCGATGTTTTTAGCGCGCGTCGTCACGTCGGTGAAGATTCAATGCGGCTGGGGTATGCAAGAGAGCACGCGCCGCGAAGAGGCGGCAGCAAGTCGGCGCGCGAGAGAGCACGTGGTCTGCGAGGGCGCAGTTTCGCGGGGTGGCCGTGGAGTGCGGCCGACGGCGGGCGCTATCAACCGAGCTGGGCCGACCGCCGCTGCCTCATGTACAGCTGGTCGCGTCTTGTTCAGGTCGTCGTCGTCGTCGTCGTCGTCGTTGTTGTTGAACGCTGTGGGTCTGGCCGTGTGTGTTGTTGAGGTGTCAGCACTTGTGGAAGTACTGCTGTTGCGATGCGCCAGCTGCTTGACCGCCTCCCATCACCGTGCTGATCAATTGCCTATTGTTGTTGTCCGGACCGAGGTGCTTCCATCGTTCATCGTCGTGCGGTGTATTTTTTTCGTCGTTGGTTTTTACATATGGGCTTTCTTGCCGGTAATTCGAGACAGGAATTGACTGGCTTGAACACGTGGGTGGTTAGGCTCTTGAATTCTGTTGTCCTTTGCTGTGTGCGATTCTCTCTACCTGTGACGAACCAGTTTTTTTATCGTCCTTCCACAACTTTCAGGTGAGCTCTCACGCCTTGTGTTCAACGTATTCAATGGATATCTCGGGTTTCTCTTCCATTCCTGTGACTCGTCCGATATTTCGCCCATGTATACTACGACTAGTAGATAGTACGACTGTCTACTTTGTCTGCCTTGTTTTCTACGGGAATGTGAGACATTGGAGAAGAAAGGAATATATTTGATACTAAAACCAAAGAAGTTGCTTCGATAGACTGTTCTCCACAGCTGGAAGACGTCGATGAAATGATCCGGATTTCAGGCTATTCTATGAAACTTCAGGAATTGCCGGTAGCGTGTAGAACGTTTGTTAATGTAAAATAATTGTATTCATAGTCCTCTCATGTTCTTTGAAAAGGAATCGATCTTCACAGCAGGCCGCCCACATTGCTCCCAAGTACTCAGTGCATGCTGAGTTCACTCGCTAGGGAGATTACACCGTGCCTGTGGTCAATATATCGTCCTAGGTGCCTATTACTTTTCTGTTTGTACAGTAATAACTTTGTTTTCGATACGAATTGCACTCAAACACCATTAGATTACGTATCATTAACCTTTCATTCTGAAGGAGGGTTAACGTTCTGTAGAAACGTCTTTGTCACTGTGGAAACTCAAGTCGTATCGTCATTGCTGGTGATGAAATTTATCTCGAAACGAAATGACCGACCATTTATCCCTAAATTTTTTTGTTTCCCGGCTCTTATGGTTGGCCTCAGCAATCATCAAAGTCTCGTTCCGCATCAGTTTTTCTAACTGCGTCTTCCTTCGTAGGTTTAAGAACGATTGTCCATTTTTCTTACGGACATCGCTTTTGTTTCGAGGATTACTATGGTGTTTGGTTTAGTCCTTGTACAGTACTTGATGTCCGTCATATAACATGAACGTTAGAAAGGACTGCTTGTCTATAGAGTTCCGAAGTTTCTTACTAATTTGTTGTACTTGTTCTCTTTGTCCGATTCTTGTGCTTCGTTCTGATTTCTCTCTTGTTCTTCGAAGAAATCGTTGACTTGAGAGAAGTCCACTCTATTCTAGACGTTCATTGATACTGTTCAAGCGTAAACCATTCATATCGAGCTAAATATGTCTCTATTTTGTCTCCTCAGAGAATTTTTCAGACATCGAGCCCGCAGAACAGCTGAACTTCGTGAACTACGGGTACTTCACATTTTGGGAGCGACAATAACTGAGACGAAGGTCAGTTTTGCTGTTTTATTCCAACTCATTTGTCCTACAAGAACTTGTTGAAGGATAAAAGAAAGTGTTGAATTGGGATTTTCAAATAGTTCTCCTTCCACTAGATTTCGATTCCTTTTAGATCCAAAAATAATTCTGCTTTCTCTTGATGTTTATGCATTAGATGTTGCTGGCAGGCGTTCATGTATGTAACTGGACTTATAACCACGATGTTATTATTTTATTTCAAGATGAAGTAGTATTTTATGCAAGTAACATGTGTGATACATCTTTTGTTCGATTTTGATGGTAAAGGTATGATTTTTCGCCATCTCTAAGTTTATCGCTAACCGTAATGATGATGGGACATTTGTGATACACCGGACCACTGGTTTCTACGGTATGGACCGAACACCCTATTGCCCTTTCCTTGGAGTAACGCGTTCACCACCATACCATGCGAGTCGTTCGTTTCGCCTTGCTCTCAGCCGTGTTATTGATCTATGGGCGCTATCAGCAATCTTATCATTAAGTTGGGACTTTAGTTTTCATTTTTGGGACTCCTGCTGTTACTGTTTTCTAACGGGCGCATGTGGCGCAGTGGTCGGATGCGCCCTGCAGCATACACGTGCAATTAACTCATGCGGCCATGGTCCACCAAGCCTTCCATCTCTCCGGGGTCAGTGAACTGGTACTATACTTGCCTGGGAGTATAACAGCACTGGCTTGATACATCGGTAGACCACCGCGAATCATTGTAAAGGTCAGATATGCATTCAATCACCTCTAACGATGCTTAATGAAATCGAATGCATGGCGTAGAGATTGATCGACGGCGAGAGCTTTATCCTTTACCCTTTATTGCTTTCTAATGTTTTGTAATTTGTCTGGTATTCTGTAGAGAGGTAAGTACGCCAATGGTGAATCAGTTGGTTAAGGCTAAGGCTTTCGAATTTGAGAAAGGCTGGATTGTACACAGAAGGCAAGCTGTATGGATATCGTCAGCAACAACTCTTAGCTGGATGATGATTCAATCAGGAAAATGGACAAAGTTCTGGTGTAAACGTCGAATTGGGGTGCAGGATTCTTTCTAAACGTCACACACCTTCATAGTTGGTTTTCGAAGTGCATGGAACTCCAGATTTCTTCCTATTTTGAAGAGGATAATGTCGAAGTTGACTCAAACCGTATGTGGTTCAGAGTTTATGACGTTGTTAAGTCTCTGTAAACGAAGAATGGGCAGAAAAGTATAGGGGATTTCGTTTAGGCATCATATGCACATCGTTCCAGTTCTCAACCCTAAATCAAAGTTGGCAACCTCTTAACGACTTTTAGCGAAGAATACGTGGCTTAGTCATTTGGAAGAGGCGGAGATTCCGTGTCCATAACTTCAGGTGTCTCATAATGTTTTTTGTTATTTCAGATTCCACATCATTTGCTAGAAATGTTTATTACGTAATGAACGTTTGGCAGAATCGGTGTATTTTGTTGCTGCGGCGACAGTTAGTTGGAAGATACGTCTTGCGAATCTTTCAAGACATGAAAGAATGGAGTAGTACAGGCATAACAGGCTTCATATTTTTTGAAAAAAAAGCGCTCATTTCGCATTTATCAATCGCATTGTGTATGCAGTGGTCGGAGGCGCCATGCAAAGCACATGGGATCGATCCCCGCTCTCCTGGCTCACCAAGCCTTCCATACCTTTTGGATGGGCAAATTGGCATCAGATTTGTCTAGGAGGCTTGCATCACTTGATACATCATTAGGCCACTGCGAGTCACTTTAAAGGCCAGATGTGCATTCGATCACCTTAAACGATCCTTAATGAAGTCGGATGCAGAGCGCATCCATCAGGGATTGACCAACCGAGTGCTTTTTTATTGAATATGCTGTTTTAAGTGCACAAACGTAACGTTTCGCGATGTTGTTCTTCGAAAATCAAGAGTTTCAAGGGCCACTACCATGAAAAATTCTGATTATCAGTACTATCCAGCTCCTTTATATGCTCCACAACCTCCAACTATACACCGTAACGCTGATTTTGTGCTTACTACTTCCGAGAAATGTTGTTAGCTAGAGATATTAAAATGTGTTTCAGTGCGAGGGACCAACGCTCACGTTCTAGTGTGATTGACCGAGCGTTGATAAGAGCTAAAATACCGATATCGACTGTGTGCATTCAATCTCTGTCGTTCTCGTCTCACCTACGGGTACTCACAACATCGCCTTCTAACCGTCTTGGGGTAATCTTCGCCACTGCTATAGGAACCGGTACTGTCTCTACATTCTCAGTGAGTGCTAGATGTGCTTATGTTTTATTGACGTTTTCCAGGTATCATTCTCATTCTACACTTTTACTCTGATGTACATCCACTTGCACTTTCTCAGTATTCACAGGATTTGTGAGAGTTATATTTCATACTCCCAACGGTTTACCGCATCATCGTGGGTGGGAAGTGTTCTTTGGTGTCGGCCTACGATGTACGGCGGTGGGATTCATCCTCTCCGCCAGCGCCTCCTAAGCTTAGAGGGAGTCTTGCGTTTCCACCAGGAAAACCAGCTAGATGTGAACCAATACCAGTATCCACCGCAGTCTTGGTATCAAACTAGTCGCTTGGTGGCAAATCTCCCTCTGATCCACAAGGAGCGGTGACTGTTTGTGGTGGTGTAGACTGGCTAGGCTGACCTTGGGATTCCAGGAAACCACAATGGTTAAACAACCAAGACTCCAAAAAAATGGAAGTATTTATGGGGCCTGCTCAACCAGTGAGGGTGGGTCATCCAAGTATCCAAGTATATTTCATCGCTGTTCCACTGAGAACAATAGGAATTCGTTCTTTTTTCGTTAGTATATCTTATTATAATTGGCCGAAAATATTGAAGCAGCAAAATATTGATTAGTCGTACCAAACGGTTACAATATTTGTCACTTCATATCCGTTTTTGCTCTATTTCTTTAAAATTATTTTGACACGTATTTGAATATTAGCTGCGATTCTACTTTTTCGATAGTTTTTGCTGAAAGAATCTACTAACTGGGATACATAAGTATCTGAGAGCACTACTTTGAGAGCTACTGTAATGTTGTATGTAGTTTTTCGGGTTATTGTCTTTTTTAAAAGCTTTTTAAGCTGGAATTAAAAGTGTTGGCGCTAAGATAAGCTTTGATTGCAAATCGCCAGAACCTTTGACGATGTCGTTAAAGTTTATCTTGTGATTTTCCGCTTGTTCAACTTCATTGGTGCTCGAGACAGAAGGCTCTAGGAAAAGAAAAGCGAAAAAAATTCATGTGCTCTAGAATACTAGTTCCATTATTATAAACTTTATAAATTTCTTTCTTATTAGCACGGCTATGTAGGCTTTAAGGGGCGCGTGTGGTGCAGTGGTTGGAGGCGTCCTGCATCATACACGTGGAATCGATCCCTGCGCCCATGGCCCACCATGGTTTCCATCCTTCCGTGGTCGCTATATTTGTACCAGACTTGTCTGGGAGGATAGCAGCATTGGCTTGATGCATCGGTAGGTCACCGCGTGTTATCGTAAAGGCCAGATACGCATTCAATCACCTTTAACGATTTTTAATGAAGTCGAATGCATGGCGCATCCCTCAAGGATTGATCAAGGACGAGAGCTTTTTTTTTATCCTTTATGTAGGTTTTAGTTGTTTCATTTGTATTTGTGGAATTCACTATTAGGTGATAGATGTTTGTTTGAAACTGGGCGACCAAATCATTTTTGGTGCATGAGTCTTGTATAAGTCACATCGTCGTGACTTTAAAGAGCTGTTACACTTTGGTTCTTCAAGGCACTGGTTTCTAAACCTTCCAGTCCTTCTTGGTCTAGTACTATTATTCCGAACCATAGTGGTCAATTTAGAGTACGATATTAGCCATGTTGAACGACTGGGTTACAATGGTTGTTTTATTGGACGATTTCATGACAGCCTGCAAATCTATAAAGAAATGTGCTTAAAAACCAAACAACGCTTTTGCATGCAGTCTCTACTCTAAAGATGACGAACGCTGATCTTGTTTGTCCTAAACTTAGTTACTTGTACCTGGATGACTCGTTTTCACTGGTTATGCGAGCCGCAGCACATCCTTCCATTCGTTTCTGAATTCTGGTACTGGTTTTAGATGGGCTTCCTGATTTAAAGGCCAGACCTCTCAGCTTGTGATGCCAGAGGAATGAATCCTCCGCTGTAAATTACGGCCCACACCGAGGTATACCCCTCCGTCTAGCCACGTTGAAGCCGTAAACCGTTGAGAATTGTTCATTCCAATTAGGAGTTAGTCTCGATTTCGTTTTATCTCTAGCTTTTTGTCACCAGTCGATGAATATTTGGGGGCTTGGTGATGAGCTTGGTGTTCGAGTTTTCTTTATTATGTCTTGATTGTATTTTTGTCTATTCGATTCACTGTTTTCAGAATCCAGCGAAGAAAATGTCCACGAATGGCTATGGTCACGGAATGGCTCGTGCTGCGTCTCATGCTGGTATAACTACGTTCTTACAGTTTATTGCAGCTTACATCTGATCTTATTTTGATTACACGACCCGCCTTTCGCATCAGTTGTGCAGATCTCAGCACTTGCATTTTATTCATTCTCTCTCGTCCCTCATCCATGAAGGTGTCGGAAATCTTGCTCATTTGTTCTGCTGCTCGTTGATGAATTTCATCCTTATGAATTTCATTAAATGTTAGTCGAGTTGATTCTTCCTGGAATCGGGGATGAAGGGTAACCGGGACGAAGCGTTTCCACTTCGAGTGCATAAAATACTTTCTTACCAGGCAACTCTGGTAACAGTTTCCTTAGCCCGGAGCGGTGTGAGAACCCGGCACAGATTTGAACCAGCACCGTGCTCGTGATGATCAGCGTGAGTGTCACTACTTCACCCACCCCAACTTTATTTTGATTATAGTCTTATTTCTAAAAGAATTTTGTAGATTCCTAGAATTCTATGGAAATCAAATCTTGGTAGCTTTAGGAAACACTAACGATTAGAAATGCTAAATAGCTTGTCATATTTTGGGATTCAGTGTCGAACTGTATTTTATTTGTTAAATGAATAAAGAGAGGGAAGGGTCTCACCCTTCGTTGATTTCGGTTTTACCATTTAGTTTTTTTTTCTCAATAGATTTTAAGACGTCCTATCGTTTTTATGCGAAATCATTAGCGCTTTACCATAAAAACATGAAGTCGTATTGAGTGGAATAACGGGAAAATTAAGAAGGCAAAGGTTCCCCTTTGTTTTTTTTAAGCTATCCACTGTTCACATTTCTATGCTCTTTGTACATACTGTCGCGAACGTTTTTATTTTTCATTGGAGTGGAGTTTTACCTACTTACATGTATACACTGACGGCCCGCGTTCACTAGTTGTGCTGGCCTCTGCGCATTCTCCATTTTTTGGAGTTTTTCTGGTTTAGCCACTGTGTTTCCCTGGAGTCCCGAAGCCAGTCTGGAGTGGAGTTTTACTAAATTAAACTGAATATTAAAGATTTTCGCTAAAACTCAAAGCGAGGTTGCTCAAATAATGACAGTTTCAAATAGCGTAAATATGTCAACGGTCAGACTTCTGGTGGATTTGTTTTGTTGATCAAAGCGCAATACATCTCGACATGTTAAGTTTCGTTACCTACTTGTAGAAAATCGCATTCTCAGCATTTCTCTTACGTTTGTACTTCTTGTTCTTGGTCAGTTCAGTAAAGTAGGTTGTTGAAATGCTCCTGAAAAGTCGCTATCTCGAGCTTAAGAGAGTCGTTATGTTTAAAATGATTTTCTATATATTCACGTAGTAGGTCACCACTCCAGTTATCTGTTATCCCGTTACCAACCAATGTGCCAGCGAGGGTTCACTTTGTCTCTGTCCAGTGCTAGTGTGGTACAGTGAAATCCACTCATGACAAAACAGAATCATCACGAGCACGGTAATGGGTTGACTTCGCCCCAACCAAGCTTCTCATCCCTGCGGGGTGGGAAAATTGATACCAGATTGGTCTGGGAGAGATTTACTCTTCGAATGTAACACTTTGGCCCGGTTTCTCGAAAATCCAGAGGTAATCGACGCCAGCATTCCACGACATTCATGATGAATGGAAAATTCTCAGCCAGCAGCCGAACTGAATGTTGGAGGGTCTTCGTAAGTGACGGACGCGAGGAAGCGAATAGAATCAAATTAGTGCTGTTATCAATGGTAAACGTGAAAAGACGGGTCATGTGAAGTAAAAATTAAAAATGCATAAGTACCCATATACGTATATATATATATACATGTATATGTATATATGTATACATATATATATATATATGTATATATGTATAGAGCTCTCGCCTTTGATCAATCACCGAGGATGCGCTAGGCATTCGACTTCATTAAGCATTGTTTGGAGGTGATTGAATGCACATCTGACCTTTATGTCTCATGGTTGCCTACCGATGTATCGAACCAGTGCTGCTCTCCTCTCAGAGAAGTCTGGTACCAATTTACCGACTCCGGAGGAATGGAAGTTTTGGTGAGCCATGAGCGCGGAGATCGATTCCACGTGTTGCGGGGCGCCTGTAACCACTACGCCATGCGCGCTCTACACGTATGTATACGTACATGCATATATGTATATGCATATATATATGTGTATATATATGCATGTGTTCGTATAAATATGTGTATATGACGGATAAATGTGACAAGACAAATATGGATTTTAGAAATGAGCCGAGAAAATAGAGATGTGTACTCTCTTGTATCAGTGTGAAACCATTGCACCAAATATCTACAAGGTGGCAGTAGTAAGAATAATGGCAGTCATGGTAATAATAATGACACATCAATTTGAAATAATCAGTTTTTCTTCCAATCTTGACTCAGATTGTTAATTGTGACAGGGATTTCGACACTTTGCAAAATTCTACACGTTTCCTATTGTTTCTGGGAGGTCCAGGTCAATTTTTGTCCTAAACTTTTTAGACTAATGTGGTTAATTATGTCTTTAGAATTGCTTCTTATAGAAAAATTGATTGCAGGGTCGTGGTATTCGAGCAATCCTAAGGAACTCGATCGTCAAATAAGTCGATGGTTGGACGGAGCTGGCGATCGTGTTGGGGTAGCTAGAGCAATCGTATCACCGTACGTTGCAGATCAAACTTCAGTATAGGATTTTTTGTTTTTACCATGCCATCAGCGGAATTTCCTTCACGGTGATTGATTTACATGACGATTGTGGGTGTGGTATAAAACAATCGTAACCAATAATAGTTCATTCTCGTTCCTCATCCGTCACTTTAAGACAGAGGACAGTTCTTGTTTTATCCCATTTAAGATACGCCTCATAGATTACGGTGTAGCGTGCAAGCAGAAACTTGCATCACAGAAACGTCCTAGCAGTGGAACCATTCGATAGAAAGAAACGGCATCGTTTAAAACGTTGTTCGAGCGGAAATCGTTTATCCACATCTTCTTGTGTTGCTTTGTTGGAGAGTGTCTGTCTATAATGTTCTTTTTGATTTGCTGCCTACCACAGTCTTTCACTGCAGGGCATCATGTGAAGTACAACTACGATAATGCTGAGATATTTGCAAAAGTCCAGTCCTCAGGTGTCTGCGGTGGGGATCAAACAGACCATTACCTTTTCCGGGAGCTAACGCGTTCACCACCACACCATGCGGGTCCTTTGTTTTGTCTGTCTCTCAGCAAGTTTTTTATCTACCAGTGTCATCAGCAATCACCCGCCAACGGGATTGATCTGGGGAACACAAATCGGCACAGAACCCGTTAAATCCCGTTGACGCTTGATTAATGAAGGCACAGAAAACTAGCCGAAAGGCGGAAAAAACGAAGGACATGCGTGGTGTGATGGTGAACGCGTTAGCTCCTGGAAAGGATAACAGCGCGGTAATTTTCTACATTCTGTACGTTTTACTGTTTCTATAGTTTACTGCTACTGTTTCGCATTTTAGCACAAATGTGTATTTGTTTCGACGCATGTTCGTTCAGGCTTCATTTTTCCGCAAGCAGCTATGTTTCATATGATTGTTATATCCAATCGATAGCCTTTGCAGCATAGATGTCATCACTTTTATAATCTATGGAAAACTATCCTTTACACTTAATAATCCGCAAAAAAATATTTTTGGACGGATTTTTCAACTCATATCACTCGTTGCGGAAAATTAGGCTTTTTGGAACAGGCTCCGCACACAATGTAGAGCAGTCACGTACGTATTGAAATTGTTTCTAGAATATCCCTATGGTGTTTGGACATGCCATGATTATATACTTTGATACTAATTCATTTATTTGCTGGTCTTATAATGGCTAGGTTGTTTTAGAACAGTGCCTCTACTGTGAAGTAACACAGTACATTAATAACTAAAGTGCTCGCCTGAAATAATAGAATGGTCGGTAGTTTGGGCTAGGTGTTGTATACTTCATTCAGGTAGTGAATTTAGTTTTGACCCTTGAGTGCGATTTATCTTGTAATCCCTTGTTTTTCCTCCACAGTAGGTTTATGTTATTTGGTCAGTATTCGTTTGATCAAAAAATACCGTAACTCAGTAATTTACTTGGACACCAGGTTTTGTTTCAGTCATGCTGGCTACTCGTACTGTGGTGATACTGCAGCTCATGCTTTTAAACAAATCGTGCCTGAAAATGTGTGAGTTGTTCGTTTTACCTTTGCTAGTAGTTCAAATCCAACGATTTACCGCCACATCGTGGATGGAGGATGTTACTGGGTGTTGGGCTGCGATGTTCAGCGTGGGAATTCGTCTCCCCGGCAGTGTCTTCCAAGCTGAGAAGGAACCCGGCGTTTCCATCAGGAAACCTAGCTAAGAGTAAACCAATACCAAGACCCACTACTGTCCTGGTATCAAATTAGTCGCATAGTGGCAAATCTCGCTCTGATCCATAAGGACGGTGAGTGCCTGTGATGGTGACGACCTGGGGGCAGACTTTGGTTAGGATGACCTTAGCAGCAAAACTCCAAAAAAATAGAGGTTATGCTGGGCTCGCACAGCAAGTGAAGGTGGAGCATCCAAGTATTCAATAGTTCAAACACTTGCATATGTCTGTGTAGTCATCTTGGTTTTGTATTATTTCTTCACTCACTCTTCGTATCACCAAAGCAATTATAATTTATCTCCTATTTTCAGCGACCGTGTGTTTGTGTTAGGACCATCACATGTTGTGTGTCTGAACGGATGCGCCATTACTACGTGTAGTAAATACCGCACGCCCATCGGCGACTTACACATTGATATGGAAGGTGTGGGTTTCGCTGGATATCGAGCATCCAGATAATCAATCCCGTCTACGAAAGTGGTTTATGTATTATGGTTATCATAATAAAATGGCTTTATTCGAAGTGAAAGTAAATCTTACATGGTTTTTTGCACTTTAGTGAATGACGAGCTGCGAGCTACTCGGCAATTTGACCTCATGGACCGAAGTGATGAGGAGGCGGAGCATAGTATTGAAATGCAAATGCCGTTCATCGCAAAAGTTATGGAAAAGTGGGAACTATTTATTTTGACTGTTCGTTCGTGACTTTTTCAACTCACACATTACGTACTGGACAAAACGGAGGTCTTGCATATTCATAGGTGCAAGTAGTTCGAGCAGTACATTCACATTCCTTCATTAGTCTTAGGGCGTGTATGGTGCAGTGGTTGGAGGAGCCCTGCAATACACTCGGGATCGGTCCCCACGCCCAAGACTCACCAGCCTTCATCCCTCCGGGGTCGGGAAATTTTTACCAGAAGTGTCCTGGAGGGTACCACCGTTGGCTCGATATATTGGTAGGCCACTGCGTGGCACTGTGAACGCCGGATATGCATTCAGTCACATCTAACGATGCTTAATAAAGTCGAATGCATCGCTCAGGGATTATCCAACGTCAGGAACTTTATCCATTTTTTATCCATTAGTCCTATTTTATTGGTATGATGGCAATAACAGTCCATCGAATCTAATTTAACACTTTCCAGCAATTCGAATGTAACTGTTATACCGGTTCTGGTTGGATCGTTGACATCGCCAAAACAACAGGCGTACGGCAAAATCTTCGCAAACTACCTTGAGAACCCACGGAACCTTTTTGTCATATCGTCCGATTTTTGCCATTGGGGTTTGTCGTCACGTTGTTTTGCAATTAAACGGATGATTAAGCGTTATCGAGAATTTTCTAGCAAGAATACATGACTATTTTAGGGAATCGTTTTCACTTCGCTCCTCATAATCCAAACAGCGGCCTTCCTATATATGAGCAGATCACCCAGCTAGATAGAGATGTCGGTTAAAATGTGTTCCTTTTTTCATAACTTTTTTTGTGTGGAGTGGTTGCGATTTGTTATAACAGTAAGCTTATTTAGAGACCAATCTTCTTATGCTAACACTCTATTAAGTAATAACTTGCAATTTCCAACAGATTTTTCAACTGAAACGCTCATTATGTTTAGGGTATGGATGCCATAGAGACGTTAAATCCACAAACATTCAATGACTACCTCAAGCGAACACAAAATACCATTTGTGGACGTAATCCTATCACAGTTCTGCTTCAGGTACGTTTCCATGGTAAAAAATGATATAGCTCTGGGCTTTGATCATTGTCTAGGGCGATCTTCATGCATTCGACTTCAGTAAACATAGGAAAGTGAATGAATGAATACCTGGCCTTTAAAATGATTTGCAGTGACTTACCGATGTATCGACTCAGTTCTGTTATACCCCCAGACAGGTCTGGTACCAATTTGCCGAACCTGGAGGGATGGAAGGCTTGGTGGGCGAAGGACGCCGGGATGGTTCCCACGTGTATATTGCGGGCGAACTCCGAACAAGCGCCTTACGTTTATATGAGCGCAACTGATTTCTTGCTTCATCTCGGACTTGTTTTAGTGTTTTTATGCCTTTTTATTTTTTTCTGAAGTTTCTTTTTACATTATTTAGGCTGCGGAGCACTTCAGAATGATGAACAATCATACTCACGAGTTTCGTTTTTTAAAGTACTCTCAGTCTAACAAAGTGAGTGGTCATTTCTTTTAATGAAGTTATATGACGGTGCTTTTCGCCATAATTCTATTAATTCAATTAAGCTTTACTTTTAGCGGAAGTATTTTAATTCCGGATCTTTGTTATCGAATATTGTTTCATCTTTAGTCTCGTTGAAGATACAGTTTATTGTTCGAGTCCCACACTGACTTAATTCCATCTACTTGTTAAGAAATTCATCAAGATTCTATGATTCTGCTGTTTTTCTTTTTACCAAAATATTCTAGTATAGTAAAGAACTGTTAGAGAAATGAACTAGTTACTCTTCACTACTCATAGTTATGAGGTCTTGAGTTGTCTACATTTATCCTGCATTTATTTTTTTGATTAGAACAATAAGAAAAACAGTATTCCTCTAAGGACTTGTTAATTTCGTTCTTTTCTATCTGCTGTTCGAAAGATAACTAAGTTAACGAAAACTTCTTACGAACAGTCCTTAATGAATTGACACGAGATGCCTAATCCGGGTTTTTGGTTTCCATGACTTAGATTTCAGACACTTCACTTTTTTCAGAGCGTGGATGCATTGTTATAGTCTTAGCTAGTAAATGTTCTACAATCCTAGTGAATGTCAGTGCATAAACTTGAATCTCAAAGAGCACTCAATGTTTTTTTTTTTCGAGAGGTGGGACTATTCGTGTCCAACTCATGTCCGATAAAAAGATAAAAGGATAAAGCTGTCGGCGTTGATGAATCCCTGAGAGATCCGCCATGCATTCGACCTTGTGAAGCATCGTTTGGAAGTGATTGAATGCGCATTTGGCCTTTACAATGAATCGCGTTGGCCTACCGATATATCGAGCCAGTGCTGCTCTGCTCCCAGACAAGTCTGGTACTAATTTGCCGATCCCGGAGGGATGGAAGCGTTGGCGGTCCATGGGGGCGGTGATCGATTCCACGTGTTGCAGGGTGCCTTCGAGCACTGTGCCACATGCGCCGGTTTCACGTTCAATGGCAAGGGAAACTAACAGTGAGCAATTCGTACTTCTGTTTATACTTGTGCTTTTAAAGTCTGTCATAAACTTCTCAAAAGCGTTGCACGTTGATGTTTTCGTTTCTTGTGTGAGTGTCGTAACGAAGGCTACAAAATCATCAGCGTTGTTTTGTGTTCTCCATGTACTTATAGATGTACTTTGTCAGTTTTAAGTTTTTCCGTCGAGGTGTACTTTTATGCAGATTCCAAGTTGTCGACCCGTGTAATCGAAATTCCAATTTACCCATGTTTTAATCTTTGCATGCCTAACCTTGATCAGGTATATTTTATTTGAACTCATGCAACTCATGTCTCTGTCGTTAGAGCAGAGCACACAGCTTTTGCTCTACACTAGCGGTCATACGAGCAGTTGCAGACTACTTGACAATGTAGAGCGTTCGTTGTTGAATTACTGCCACAGAACATCCTAGACCAATCGTTGTTATGGAACTCTTAATCATTGTCTTTTTCATCGAGGTGAAAGGAAGGAATAAAAAAGGTTGGTACTAAAGCTGTTGATGAAGAACTCCCTCCGATGTGCAAAAAACTGGCCACTATCTGTGGTAAAAACATGCGAACGCCTTAGCACAGCTGTACGATTCCAAAAAGAATATACTCGATTCACAGTATTCAGTGACGTTCATAAAGAGTTTCGTGGATGATGGTTGTTAGAAACGAGGTGAGTGAATGAAATGCTAGGATCCGTACGCCATGCTGCTGTAAAGTGAGTTATTATGTTATTAAAGCCGCTATTATAAAAGAGAAAGAGAAGGTTATGTCCATACAGCGCAACAAGAATGTCCTTTGAAGTAACAGCGCAGAACAAGGTCGCACTTGGTCCGCATTTAATTGCCTGTCTTCCAGGTGGTGGGGTGCCACGTACAGTGAGAGAGATCTATGAAAGGTGCTACGAAATTGTTTTTTTACACTTCACATAGTAAGAACGTATAGTGTAGTTTCAGTGAAATAAATCATTTAGTCTATATTTGATGTAGTGATTTGTATAACAATAATGTTAATTTTGCTAAGTAGTAGTTCATCTAGGCGGGAGTTAGTGATGCTGTCGATCAGGAAGCAAAAGCGCTAGTTCGATCCCCTTCTCAACGGTTTCCTCCAATCCGCGTGGAAACGCCTTAGTTCGGCTGTCTTCAAAATTTCTAGTGGAATCGGCTAGAATCGACTCGACCAGCATTCTACGACATAAAGAAGGCGAAATCTTTAAGCAGCAACCCAAATAACACCCAAGATGTTCGAAGACCGTTGTAGACAATGAATGCGAGGAGAGAGGGTGGTGCAGTTAGGATCCATATGCGACTCTGAGCGGCTGTTCTTCCTCGGCGGAAGACAGGTGAAAAAAGGGGTAGGCTTTTTCCGGAAGCCGCAGATCTTGTAATTATCATGCAGATTTTCATCTGTTTGTGCTGTTGAAGTGTTTGACCTAGTAAGTTGCGTATTAGTATACTTTTCCAGGTTCTGAAGAAGGCGATTCTGCCGAGATGTCAGCTAGGATTGTGTTATATGTTTTAATGTTTTATGTGTTATTGTATGGAAAAATAATGAGGTTTTTAATAAACCGCGGAAAAAATGAAGCTACGTTGTGCGAAGATACCTACTGTTGTTCATTTTATCTTATTTAATTTTTAACTCCGTCTTTATACGGTGATCACAGAGCTCTTATTCGCTCAGTTTCTTTTCGAAAGTGTTGGTCATTACTAGGAACCACTGGCATGAGAATGTCTATCGAGAAAAATGGGATTAATTTCAGGCACGAAGTGTGAATGACTCGTCTGTCTCGTATGCTGCTGGAGCTCTTTTTATGCACCCGAAGTGATGGGTGTTATGCGTTTTTTAATGGTTTATCTAGATGTTCTTGGAAAGCAAAACTCTTACTTTCACTTCTATGTCAAATTGTCCTCTTCGGTTTCCTATTCCATCCACCGTTCCGTTTTTCATCAAGGTTCACAAGTATATGTGATTTTATTCTTAGACATTACGACTGATTAAATTACTCGTTTGTTCTAACCTCCCATAAGATATCCAGTCGGCTGTCTTGCATCTGTAGCTTTTTCGATTTGGTGCCTTTACGTGTTTACTTTACTTTTTCTAAATGTCGCTTTTATGAATGCTACTATGGAAATTAGGTTTTGCATCGCTGTATTTTTCATTCTAGGATATCATACCCATTTCTTTCGCACGATGTGATATGTGAGTAAACTTTTTTCAATCACATGGTCGAATTTAGAGCTAAAGTTGGTGTTTGCCATAAAGTTGCCATGTGTAACAATTGCTGAAGCTCGGCATAATTGGGTATTGCATAAAACCCTCTACACATTTGCGTTAGCTAGAATCGAAAAACCCTTTTCTGTGTTTTTCCTGCACAGGTGTTCTGGGACTAGTACTACGTATGCAGCTTCCGTACGACAGCTGTTATACCCAGGTGGGTGCGAGAAGTGCTTTACTAAAAAAGGTTTCTTATTACGGCCTGTAAAAGATTATTTATTGGGATGAGTTGGCATGTGTTCATGAGGGTTATTGCGGAATCATTGTTACTGAGGAGGGTGCAAGAAGTGGCACTGTTGTCCATGAACATCGAAATTTCTAACCTATGAATATCTCGTCGCAGCGGTAGTATTTTTCTGCTCGCATCCAAGTAGTGGCAGCGTCCATTTCCTGTGTGCTTTCGGCTACTGCTTGAGGATTTTGGCTTGATCCTGAATGCCATAGGATACTGGTTGTGTCGGTTCTCACTGGAGTCTTTGTATAACCGGGTTAAACCGTTCCCGTTTGCATTGTAGAGGATGGTTTTTTCTCGGGTAAGTCCGATGCCAATTCTCTAACCGCGGAGGGATAAGAGACTTGATAAGTCCATGGCGGGATCGAAGCAATACTACATCGTCGTGGCAGGCACCATTATCACTGTGCTGTCCGATCTTATCCGCTTGATGCTATACCATCGAAGATCCCGATTTTTGAGCAGCAAATGATTGTTCGTTATTTTTCGATCTTCATAGTGGACCATAGTTTTAACGGTCATTATGGTGGTAATAGGGATGGAAAAAAGTTTGGAAATTCAGGGCATACTCTATAGATGTTACAGAAACTTGTTACTGACTTGATACTTGATACTTGAATGGCCCGTCCTCACTGGTTGTGCGGGCCTCAGCATAATCATCATTTTTTGGAGATTTTCTGGTTAAGCCATTGTAGTTCCCTGGAATCCTGAGGTCATACTGACCAAAGTCTGTCCCAGGTCTTCACCACCACGGGCAGTCGCAGCCCTTGTGGATGAGAGGGAGATTTGCCACCATGCGACTTTGATAAGAGGACGGTGGTGGATTCCGGTATTGGTTTACTCTTAGCTAGGTTTCCTGATGGAAACGCCGAAGTCCTCAGCTTGGGAGACCCTGCCAGGGTATGAATTCTCCGCTGTACATCGCAGTCCGATATCTAGGAACACCTCACAGCCACGATGAGGCAGTAAACCGGTGGGAAGATGTTACCGGAAACGATTAGCAAAGGCTTAGAACACAGTGGCTGCTGGATGGTGAAGTTTTGCTTTTTTCCGCTTACCATACATAAGAGGTGGAAATACTCTGAAACCATTGGAAGGGACATAGATTTAGGAAATAGTTTACTAACAAAGCTGATAGAAAGACTGAGTGACGAAGTTGTAGGAGGCACATTGGACCGTAGTAGTCTGTTTTGTGCTTAAAAAGAATGGCCGTTAGAGCATGAAACAATCGAACTATAATAATACTTTGAGGTTTTTGAAGAAACGAGGACGCAACGGATTGTCTTTTTCTGTGGAAAGGAACCGATCTGATTGTTATGCACCAACCAATGTTGAAACAAGAGAGGTCAAAGACGTTGTTACAAACCAAATAATTACATACTTTACGTTATAGAAACCGAAAAACAAGAAAACGACTTGGACAGAAGTTACCTCAAATAAGACGTGTTTGCCATAGAATCTTCGACGTCGAACCAGAAAGCTCTTAGATAAACAAAAGGAAAGTAAGCG